GGCAAAAACCTGCTGGGAACTATGCAAAAAGTGCATCGTCGCACCAGCAGTCGGTGCGCTGGCCATTTATTTTTTTTTTTTAACGATAATGGATGCTTTCAATTAGTATCTACCATCTTTCGGTGTGTGTGTGTGTTTATGTGTATGCTCTTATAACTTCAAAGCTATAACTTTAAAATAAGGATTCACTACAATCACGAACTGCAGACGTATGATTTTTTTTTTCAGGACACTCTTCCCGAATGTCCCTGTATTCACCATAAACCAACCGACAGCGAGAGTAGGATTTCTGGTGAGGAATGGTTCGCCGCGTAAAATTCCTGGAGCAGAGCTGGTTCTTACATTTGACACTGCCAGCTGAAACTGTTATCCATGAAATATCTCCGGTTGCGAATTATCTCATCCAAATGCTTGTTGCTTTCTTTTGTGTAATAAAATATAACTGAGCTCTGCAGTCCAAGCCTGACAAATTGATCATTACAATTCAGTCTGGATTTGCTTCTGCCGAAAATTTTAACACGCAGAATCATTTCCGGAGCTTCCACTGATTCTGATAGAATAATTAAAAATGCATTTTCTCGACTAAAAACATACATTTTCTCAAAACATTACATTTTCATGCGCTTCTGCACCAGCATACTTAAGAGCCGAATTCCCTGTTTTTGCCTAAACAGGGAAATTGGCTTTTAAGTATGCTGAGATCTCACATATGACCACGTGAAAGGTTTGTCGCAAAAATCACCCGATAGCCAGGAATTTAGGGGATTGAAATTTGGGAAAGATATTCACCCTTCAAGCTTTCACTTATCGGTGCGTGAAATTTGTAGTGGGAAATTCAACAGCTAAGGAACAGACAACATTTCAATTATTTTTGCGCAGACCAAACTGCAAAACATAGAAAATCCTTAGGAAGCAAACTTTCGCTGGACAGACTGCACAAAACGAATGATAGCACCGGCTGTCCTGCTGTGCTCGCTATTTATTTATTTTTTATGCGTTTTTTGCAGCTATGCAATACGGAAAATGCACACTGACGAGAGGTTGTCTGTGTGTGTGTGTTTGCGTGCGTGTGTGTGCGCTGGGCCTCTGTACCGATTTTTCATCTCGAAACCTACAAAAGCTACAGGGCTGAAGCTTTGGGAACTTAATCTATTTGCACGTACGGGCCTCCATCCCCAGAATGGGCGATCTTTCCCGCGTGGTATCCACGTAAGAGTCTGCCAAAGTTTTTTACGGGTTAGCTGCTAACTCGGGAACCAGAAATGCTTGAGGGCTGAAATTTTAAGGGAGTGTACCCCGTCCAAGTAGGGATTAATAAGCACAAACCCAACCTCCAGGTAAGCGTCGTGCTTGCGTACGGGCCCGCCAAAATTTTTTCGAGTAAGTTGCTAATTCGAGGACCTGAAAAGCTAGAAGACTGTAGTTTTAAGAAGATGTCCCCTATCCATCTAAGTCTCAATGAGCTCAAATCCAGACATCGGATATGCGTGGTACCCACGCACGGCCCGTGAAAGTTTTCTTCCATTAAGTTGCTAACTCAGAAGCCAGAGAAGTTAGAAAGCTGAAATTTTAAGGGGATGTTTCCCTGACAGTTCTGGCGGCCAGTCTTAATTTGTTTAGCTAGAAAAGTTTGCCGGAAAAAATGGTGCCGGTAGCGACAAAAACTGCGGAGAACTGCGCAAAAAACGCATCTTCGCACGAGCAGCCCGTGCGTTGGCCAATTATTGTTTTAAAAATGGTGGATGTCTCCAGTGAGTATCCCACTTATAAGTTTAAAGCTATAAGTTTAAAATAATAATTCACTATTATCACGAGCTGCAGACGTATGATGTTTTTTTTTTCAGGACACTCTTTCCGAGTGTTCCGGTATTCACTAAAAGCCATCCGAGGGCGAGCGTAGGAACAGCTGGCGTGTAAATTTCCTGGTGAAGAGCTTATTATTACATCTAATACCAGCTGACACTATTTCCTGTGAAGTATCTTCGGATGATTCGAATCAGCTCATTCGAATACTTGTTTTTTTATGCGTTTTTGCATATATGTAAATTGCAAAAACGCATATTGGGAAGAGGCTGTTTGTGTGTGTGTGCGTGTGTGTGTCTGTGTGTCTGTGTGTTCGCACTTTTTGTCACCCACTTTCAGCTCGAGACCCAGAAAAACTAGAAGGCTGAAACTTTGGGGATACATGCCCATACAACGCGCGACCCTCCCGTTTTAATTTCATCCCCTTGGACGTCTGGGTGCCGTGTACTGACGCTCTAAAAAAATATGCAAATTTTTTGGCGGGAAGGCGATCTCGGGAACTACATGACTTGAGGGGCCGAAACTTTGTAGGGATATTCCCTGTGCATGTACTAGATAAAGGTTTCAAAATCAGCTCCCAGGTGTGAGTGGTACTCATGTAAGAGCGTATGAAAGTTTTAGAGGGGAAATTCCTAACTCGGGTACTTGGAGAGCTAGAAAGCTCAAACTTTAGGGGAATGTTCCCTATCCAAGCACTACTCAAATAATTCAAATTCAGCCGCCTGGTATGCATGGTACTGAAGTAAGGGCATACGAAAATTTTAGGGAGAAAATTGCTAACTCGGGTACCAGGAAAGCTAGAAAGCTGAAATTTTGGGAGAATATTCCCTGTTCAAGTACAACTCAAATATTTCAAATTCAGCCCCCTGGTATGCATGGTACTCACGTAAGAGCGTATGAAAGCTTTAGGGGGAAAACTGCTAACTCGGGTAGCTGGAAAACTAGAAAGTTGAAATTTTGAGGGGATGTCCCCCATCCAAGTACAACTTAAATTTTTCAAATTCAGTCCCAAACTTTGCGTTGTACTCACGGAAGTACGTATGGAAGTTTCTGCAGTAAAATTACTAATTCGGCAACCATAAGAGCTGGAAGGCTAAAATTTTAAGGGGATATTCTCTGTCCAAGTGTAATTTAAAAATTTCAAATTTGGCTTTCCAGACACGTGGAGTACCCACGTACGGGTATTTGAAGGTTTTGGTAGGAAAATCGCTAACTCGGTAATTAGAAAAGCTGGGAAGTTGAAATTTTGGGAAAATGTACCCTGTCCAAGTACAGTTTAAGTATTTCAGATTCAGCTTGAGGTATGCGTGATTCTTACGTACGGTCACTTAAAAATTTTGGCGAAAAAATTTCATACTAAACAACTAGGCTACTTCTAAAGAACGACTGTTAAATGGAAAATTACTTTACAAAATTTTATGATGATTTATGCTAGTGACCGCAACAGGTAGGTGTAAAGCAAAGCCATTCATGCAGTCAATGACCTAAGCACTTTAAGTCCGGTGTAAAAACGCATGATCGCACGGGCCCGCCCAGTGCGTTCCAGCCTGGGCTTTTTTTTGTGTAATAAAACACAATTGAGATGTTCGGTCCAAACTTAACAAATCTGTCAGTTCAATACAAGCTGGATTTGCTTCTGCCGGATACTATAACAACCAGAATCATTTTCTGAGCTTTTACGATTCTGAGTGAATAATTAAACTAAAAAAGCATTTTCTCCGCTAAAAAACGTGCACTTCTTCAACATTACATTTACGTGTACGCTCCTGTGGGTTCGTACTTGGACAGAATGAGAGAATTGGTAGCAACAGACATCAGCCTGGCCTCATCACTGTGCAGCATCGGTGAAAAACTTAATTTTTCAAGCATTTTCTTTAAGAACTTGCTGTTGCAAACAGTTAAACACTGGTAGTGTTGTAAAAGAATGATGTTTGCTCATCATTTTGCGAGTTCTTCCAGTGTCGCAGTGAGCGGTGACATGCAACTCATTTTCATAATCATACGTTTCTCAGACGCTTCTTCAACTATTAACCATTTGATAGTCACTGTAATTTAGCTGTATACTTGCTCACAAGGCTGCAATACACATTTGCGCTTCACTGCTAGGTTCAAATGGCTTCTTGGAACTCAGTGCGCACCGCTGTTTGAATAGATATTCCGCATATCTGGTATCACTCACTCACTTAGTACCACTCCATGGATTGAACTTCTCATCTCGCACGATTGCATGTGCCGAATTTCAGCAAAGCCGGATCAGTACTACAGTTCCCCAGAATGACAATTTCAAGCATAGGATATTAGCTTTAGCACGTTGGAGAACGGCTAATAGTTGTTATCCTTCCAATTTAGTCAATATTGCTTTTGACAGAGCCTTACGTGAGGCACATAGACGATTTCTCATATCCTGTGTTGACAAGGCGCCAAATAACTACATAATTATAAGTAAAAACTACTATGCTTTGCTGCACTGTAATGAGCTTGGATTCACCACATTCAATCACATTCAAGGGAATAGCGTGTAAGGCCGGTGCCGTTTTCGGTTCAACACCTGGTCACCGACCACAACAAAATTTTAAGTAAATTTCAACTTCGCATCACCGACCATAATACATCCATCCCCCTCATCTACGCTGTTCCAAAGCTTCATGAGAACCCCTATGGATATAGATTCTTAGCTGCGGCAAATAAATCATCCCTCTGAAACTTCTCCATTACTATGCATCGCCTGTTATTTCACTTTAAGACTCATTTCCGTAATTACTGTATCCAAACAACTATGCGCAATGGACGACCGCTTATTTTGGCATTACCAGTTCACTAACAGTGGTGCAGAAGCTCACTACACTAGGCAGGACGATTGAACATTTA